AAATGTTAGGATGTGCTGCGCATGTGTGTGCAAATACGAACCCTGGAAATTTTATTAGCTTTCATTTAAAAAAAAAATAATAATGAAATTGAGTGAAAAGTGAAGGCTTCAGTAAATTGTGAACACAAAATGCTAATCTTGAACCACTGTGCAATGACCGCAATAAAGAGAGAACTGGTTTCCTCTGCATTATATGCCAACTAACTTATAACTAACTACTTTTGGACTTGAAGTACCAACAAGAAAGATGTTTTTAAATTTTTTCCACTTTTATTTATCTTATTACTACATTTAACGAGCAATACTTGTATATAAATGTATGTATATCGAGAAACCTCGGAAACGGCTCTAATTATTTTGATGAAATTTCGTATACAGATAATGTTTGCATTTTAAGGTTGTCTAAATAGGTATTATAATCGAGGATACTCGTATAAGGTTGCCACCTATTCGAAATTTGTTACAAATTAAATAAAACATCATAATATGGGTATCTCATGGAACGAATTTAAAATATCCCCAATTCAGAAATATTTTTGAATGGGGTTGCCACCATTTTGAATCGTATTTTTTTTAATTTTTTTTTTAGAAAATAAGGGTACAATATTACTGTTCATGCTTATATAACATTTCAAAATTTTACTAAAACATCGCAATATGGATATCAAATGAAAACAATTTTTTAAAACTTTAGTCCTTAAATATTTTCGATGAGGATTGCCACGTTTTTTATAATACAAATTTGTATTTGGTTAATTTTAATAAGCTTTATTTTGTATGTATACACATCTGCTTAAGAAATGCACTATTTTTCCCAGCGTATTTCTAAATAGGGTTGCCACCTAAGTTTTAAGTTAAGAAATTACTTTACTTTACTTTTCTTTACTTTACTTTACTTTTCTTTACTTTACTTACTTTAGAAGATATAACTAAATTATTTTAGCAAACATAACGAGCTTGTTTACTCTGGGTGCCAGGTCACCCGGGAGTACCTGGTAATGATAAATCTGATAATTTGACCAAATTTGGCTCAGACCAGGCATTTCTCCGTCCGCAACCAGTTATAGCACTCCCAACTAAGAGGCATTGAGGGGCTGCGAGTGGGAAAAACTAATTTTACCTCCAATCTCAGAAGGTCTGTATAGTTTTTTGATATCACTGAGCAGACGGGACTGCAGAAAACTTGTTGCACTGCTGACTTGTCAATTCACGTGGCACAAACACCTGAACAACACCATTTGGCCATCCTGCCTTGAAGAGGATGAGACGCTGGAAAGCTTTTTACGTTTCTGCGCCACCTTTGCAAGAATTAGGTACGCGCTCCGATACTGTCCGAAAACTGTCAGCGCTCGATTTACCTACAGCTCGACGTGAGTTTTTCATGACAGCTGCGTATCTAGAGTAACCTCGGAAAAACTTTGGTTTACCAAGTGCAGTTTGGCTCTGCTTGACAGCTTTGTACCTGGAGTCAAAGTAGCGAAGTAAAATGCCTACTCCACGTCTGCAAAGGTTCCATTCTGTATCCCGCTGCCTCCATCTCCACTTCGATCTTTGCCACAAGGCTGTCCACCAAACCCTTTGATCAAATATACTTTACGACCGTGCGCTCAGGGCTCTTCAACATAAAGCATGTCAGACTGATTGGGCTGAAGCTTTTTGCTAGCTCATAATCATCGCTCCGCGGTTTTTGAAGTAAAAAATATTCAAAGGCTTCGTGAAGATCAATCTCATTCAGATGTCGTACAAAATCGACACACACCATCTTTTGGTCGATTTTAAAGCCGCGTTTGATAACATGAAGAGAAACTGGCTGTGCGACGCCATGTCTAAATTTGGGATCGTCGCACAACGAATATTAGAATTTATAGTGACGTTGAGCACAATCTTCCATTCCGTTGAAATTGGGAAGGACCTCTCCGTGCAGTTTTAGACCAAATGAGGTTTTAGACAAAACGATTCATTATAATGCAACTTTTTCAATCCGATGCTGAAAAGCAAAGTAAGAGCAGCGGCACCATATACAGCAAAAGAACGATGCTGTCGGCGTAGGCAGATGGTATTGCTGTCGTCGTCCTGGGCATCATGACCGCCAGAGCAGAATTTTCCAACTTAGAAAAAGAAGCCAACGAGGTTGGTATAGCGCTGAAAGAGGACACGGCAAAGTACCTCCTGGTAACACATAAAAAGCCTTCGCTTATTGGGACACGCGTCAATGGTGATCATTGTAACTTTCGTGTTTTGAAGGACTTTTCCTACCTAGGATTCAGCATAAACACTACCAAAACTATCACTACTGAAGATCACCCGAAGAATAACTTGTGTCAACAGATGCTACGCGGTAGGCAATTGAAAAGCTGAGCCTTCTCACGCTCTACAAATCTCTCATCATAGCCGTCCTTTTATATTGCGCAGAAAACTGGACGATGGCAAACAAAGGTGAGAAGGCTTTGGGTGATTAAGCGCATAAAAAAACAACGATTGCGCTGGCTTGAACACTTTGTATGCATGGAAGACGAGGGAAGGGAGTGAAAAGATCCTTCGACACCGCACCCATTGGCCATGGAAGGGGTACATATAGAAGGATCTGTCTCCACTTGGGATGAACAACTGGCGCAAATCGGCATGGGGAGAGGCAATTGGCGTGGTTTTTTGGTCTCGGCCCATACGAAAGTGCCATATAATAAGAGGAATTCCTTCAAAGGGCTGTTTTCCAGCCCAGCATTTTGCAATAACTCGGCTATAACTTGACGCATCTTGCCCGTCAATTGCTACAAATTTTCTGGAATTATTCGCACAAATTCAGACTTTCGCATAGCTCAACAAAATCAGATCCAAAGGCGTTAAATCGCAGATCTCAGTGACCAAGCCACGTCACCAAATATTGAAATTACGACTCTTGTAAATATCTCAAAAAATAGAGCCCTGTCTGATCAATATTTTAAATTTCAAGCCAAAACAATGTCATCGATCCGAGCGGAATAACGCTGAGGTGGCTCCTTCGTCGTTCTCGAAGAAATATGTCCCAATGACGTTGCCGATGCTGCAGTGAACACCAAAGAGTCACTTTTTGTGGCTACTCAGTCCCTCAATAACTCACTTCTGCAGCTCCGAAAAATTTGCTTATTAACAAAACCGCCAAGCGTGAAATGTGTTTCAAGCCTTTCTTCGAAATGAGCGAAATCCATCCACCGAAGATTCATCATTTTGGTAATAATATAAACGTCTTGTTCAGCCGTAAAACGTTTAACTATTCAAGTATCTATTTGGGTGCCACTAACATTTTGCTAATATCAAACTTCTTTTTAGCTGTAAAAATTTTAAATATTCGTCCATTTACTTATTATTCTTCCTTCATTCCCAAACACTGACTTTGTTAGCGAAAAGTTACCCTGGCAACCAACTCGTTAACCGTATCCCAAAACTATGAATGTATCTATTTACTTTCCGTAAATAAGTTTCTCTACTAGTTAGACAATTTAATCCGAGCCGAAAAGTAGAAACATTTTTTAATTAACACAAAACGTAAAAACAATGAATTTCTCATACGTCGAGTTCCCCTTTACTGTCGATGCAAACACCTTTAAGCCATATTTCAATGCAAGCAACGTAATACTACCACGAAAGCGCGACAAATCCCTGCTTGTCAGCGATGGCCAGCGTGCAACAGATAAGGAGGGCCGGCAGCAGCAGTCAAATCAACCGGAATCACTGCGTCATTTGGCGCTCGATGCCATCATTGCCAATTGGAATGGTAATAATTTCATTACGAATACTACAAGCAACATATTTAAATNCTTCTTTTGGCGCCGTTGTTGTCAGCAACGCTGGAAGCCCCACCACCACACCAATAGCTTGACACAGGCACAGCCATGGATTAGCATCTACATGCAGCGACATCTGCAGGAGTTCATCGAATGCATGGAGACGTGCGATTACGAACAGGAACAGACGCAAGCGGAGTTGGACATTTGTGCGGCATATGTAAATCAACTGGAGATAAAGTGTTTGCAACCTGCCGCCGATGGACGTAATGGTGAGTGGGAGATA